CTGGGGGGTGGGGGAGGGGCGCTGGCTACTGCCCCACGTCTCTGCCCCAAAGCATCTGGAGGCTGCAGGGGTGCGGGGGGAAAACAGACCGCTGGACAGATATCGGAAGGGGCTGGGGGGATGGACCCCCAAAGAACCAGGCACCTGGGCTCCTACCCCCCTACCAGGCAGGATACCCAGGTGTCCAGGCTCCCAAAGCCCAGCTATGCTCCAACTACTCGGTCTCTCACCTCCACCCCTGAGGAAGGGACCCAGGTGTCCGGACTCCCATCACCAGGCAGCGCTGCTCCCAAGGGCCCGGACGCCTGAGTTCTCGGAGGAGAATGGGGGCTGCACAGTTAGCTGCCCCCCAACTCGGAGGGACTAGGTTGGTGCCCACCCTGCTGCAGCCACGTGGCTAACGAAGGAGCCCCGAGAACAAGCCCGGCTGGAGGGAACTGGAGATGCCGGTAGTGGGCAGGCCCCCCAGAGTGCCGCCCCCCCAACGAGGGAAAACTGAGGCACGGGGCGGATGATGTCATGGCAGCTCCTCCTCCCCCCAGGGTCACAGCTGGGCCCCAGCCAGGCAAGGGACCCAGGCGTCCGCGCTCCTAGCCCGTCGTTGCTCTGACCACTAGGCTCCTCCCTCTCCCCGGACCCATGCGTCCGGTCTCCTACCCCGGGACCCCCAGCCCTTACCCGGCCGCGCCGCGTCCACACGGGCCTTTAAAGGGCCAGGCCGGCCCCGCCCCGCCCCCTCCCGCGCAGGGCATGCCGGGAACTAGAGTCCTGCCTTGCTCCCCCATGCGACTACAACTCCCGGCGTGCCCAGCGCCGCTACCCCATTAACGTCACTGAACGGGGGCGCTGCTTGCATAATGACCCAGCCAAGGCGGGGAGGGTGCCGCTGCCCCGCCCCTCCCCAGCCCGGACACCTGGGTTCTTTGCTGGGGGGGGCATGTGTGCGCCCGTCCGTTTCCCCCACCCCTTGTCTGCCCACACACCCGTCCCTCTCATGACATCACTGGGACCTCATTGTGATGTCACACCCACCATCTCCCCTTCTGACCCGCCCCCAACCTCCTACGGCCTCGCCCCTCCCAGGTACCTGGGTCCCCCTGCCAGCACCCCTCCTGCCCCCACCTGCTGTGCCTCAGTTTCCTAGGAGAAAACAGCTCTGGACTCCTGTGTTCCCAGCAGCGTTTATTGGCTGGGCAGCGGGACAGGCTTGGGCCCAGCACCTGCCGCCCACTCAGGGCCTGGCCTGGCGCTTGTGGAGCTCCTCCCGCACCCGCTGGCACAAGGCCTGGCGCAGGGCAGGTTCCAGCGGGCTGTGGGCGCACACCTGCTGCACCACCTCCTCAGGACTGTCATCCTGCGGGAAGACGGTGAGAGGTTGCAGCCCCCATGAGCTGAGGCCTGCGGGGCAGAGTGCATCTCATGCTGGAGCCCCTGGGCGTAGCTATGCTAGGCGATGCATAGGCAGGTACAAGGGGCACATGCCACCACCTTGCTGCCGACATGGCTGTGGGCAGTCCCCACTCGCAACCTCCCCCCTGCTGCTGACACTGTCACTGCCATCTGCTGGCGGTCCCCACTCGATGCCAATGCTACTGCTTACAAATGGTGCTCCCCCAGTCTCAGGAGGCACCAGTCGTTCATGGGAGTGGAAGCCACCTCCCCATCCCTGCTGGACCCCAGGGACTGCAGCCAAGTGCCAACCCCCTGGTGGGCCTGGGGATTGTGCAGCCAGGTGCCAACCCCCCTGGCCGGGGAGTGCATCCTATTGCCCCCTGCCCTCCCCCCCACAGGAGCTTGAGGCCTCTACTGGACCCCAGGGCACTGCAGACAGGCCCTAAGGCTGCTAGTGCTATCCTGGGGTGCTGTAGCCCACATACCCGGGCACCCTGCCCCGCACCTGGTGGACGATGACAGCTGTGACATCGCCGCTGTCGGCTTCGAACTCGAGGCAGAAGAGCTCGGGGCCCCGAGGGTCAGGCTCGGGACTGGAGCTGCTCTCGCTGGAGCCCTCATAGTCCAGGCTGTAGCTGGGGTCTGGCTGGCCTGGGCAGGGAGGAGCCTGTGAGGGCAGAGAAGCAGCCCCC